CGATTTACAACAGAACTCGAAAGCACCTGAGCAATTACACGAAAACAATTATTCACCTCAGGCTCAGTGAACATTACTAAATAATATGGAAGCCGAAAAGGGACAATCCAAAAATATTTTCAAAAAGTAAAACCGAAAAAATATTCGGAATCAATATCTTTTAGACAAATCGCTTTTAAAAAATTTGTCAAATCGAGAAAACAATTTTAAATCCTGGTTTAATTAATAGATCCACAAATAACATTCGCGAAAATCGAAAATAGTTCTCAATCCAAGAATCTTTCCAAAATCCAGAAAATTTCGCAAATCAAGGAAAATAGTCACGTGATACTTGCGCCAGAAGTCAGCACTTTGTCACAATACAGCACATCGTGTCGCACTAGGTTGCACTAGGTCGCCTTAGACTCACTTTGCGAGCGGACTAAACTGTACCAAGTGTATTGCGATGTTCTACAACAAATGTGGGAAAGAATTTGTGAGTAATGAGCTATTCTGCCGTCGATGTGGAACATTAAAGAGACCTGAACATACACGTACAAAAGCCAAAGGGTCACGAACGTTTATTGCCTTCTGTCATAATATTGGAGTCTGATACACAATCAGTCCTTGCTGAAAACAATTTCGACAAAACCTCCGATCATCTCTTAAAAAAGGGGAGAATCTCTTAAACACATTCAGGAAAGGTCAGAAAAAGCTGCTTAACCCAGCATACGGCCCCACGAGATCCAAAATGGAAAAAGAAACGAAGAGAAAGCGCGGCGTTCATTTAATAACTTGCTTGTTGATTGAGTAAGAATGGGCCGAATGATAATTATTTGGTTTTTAGTTTTAAAGTCATGAATTTGAGCCGAGCAATTTACCATACGATTCTCCCCGGTAAGGTCTGTATTCTACGTAGATCCACTTGCAAATTACTTTGGTTTTTCGGGGAAAAAGATAGGTCCTTGTCCGGGAAACTCCTGCCCAACATGGACCGTGGAGTAGTGACGTTATCGCCGGAAATATATATCTAGGGTCAATATTGCATTATGCTATTGTTTTTTCTTTTATTGCATCATTATTTATTAGATCTGGTTCTAACAGATTGCGTGACTACTTCTCAAAGTAATCCGACTGACGCAGCAAACTTAGCATTGAAAGAGTTTCAGCCCAAAGATGGCGTTGCTTGCTTTGCTTTTACTATCATTGACGGTCAATTCGGCTTTTTCAGCTCGAATTGTTGCCTTTTGCACGATAGGAAAATCACAATACATGAACCTAAGGAGTATTCTGGAAGAAATGGCTTCTCGAGGACACGAGGTAGGAGAATTTTGATCAAAATCTGCGGTGGAAGGTTAATAAACCTTCTTTAGAGTGATTACATATTCTTTTTCGCCTGAAATGTGTTAAGGTTGCGATGAACAAATAGCAAAACAACACTTAACGGCTCAACATGGCTCGATGTAGGGGATTACCATTATCTTTACCTTCACTTGATTTATCTGGATGTACAGTGAAACTGACAGAAGCTAATAACATTTACCGCGAGAACCGTCATGACACTTTATAGTCCATAAGATGCAAAACTAAGAAGAGGTGAAATTGATCAAAGTCATGTTAAATAGCAAATCATCCCGTGACGTCGATATCATGCAAATCAAAACTGGTTGTGTGTTTATTTAAGAGTCAAGCAAACCCTGATCTACGCAATATCTTGCAAATAATAGAATTTTAAGAGGCAGAGATTACTACAACATGCATTACAAAGACGTTTTTTGTGGAAATTTACAATTTGAATTACAAAAACGTATAGAAAACCATTATTTTGGTACTAAGGTCTATTCCATGATTGACTGATTTCTTTAAATAGTCGCCTACTGGCTGTCAATCAAACCCTCGCGGGGGGTTGATTTTTCTGATAGCAGTGACAGAGGCATGTACGGTCCTAAAGCATTTGATTTTTGTGCTTTGTGATTACAAAAACGTACGGGTTTAGATTTTGACTATTATGGTCTTAAATCGGATACAATTAGGGTAAGAATTGAGAAAACTCGGACTCAAACTCCTACCAAGATAATTGGATATTGTCAACTGAGTTGATAACGTAAATTGGCAAGCGTTAACCCTTTTACTCCCATGAGTGACCAAGACATAATTTCTCCTTACAATATCAATGCAATATCAAGCAGACAAGTGATGAGAATAAAGAAAAATATTAGTTAGGGGAATATAAGTCGATTCAATAAACAATTCTCCAAACTAACATCACAAGATCTCTATGGTAGATAGAAAGGAGAATTACTAATGAGATCTTGGGAGTTAAAGGATTAAGAGTTTGAAAGCTGACGTTTCGAGCGTTAACTAGCCCTTCGTCCTTTGCTCTGACGAAGGGCTAACGCTCGAAACGTTAGCTTTAAAACGCTTAGCTCTTTAACGTAACGGTGACAAATTTACATTATCAACTCAGGTGATAATACAAAATTACCCTGTTATACTCTCCCATCGACACAACGCCACAGTTTCTTTAGAAATTGCGTTTTTCTTTCATTGCATGGAATAAACTTTGGAATAAGAGAGTACATGTCAGCTTCTTAAACTTTATTTTAAAAGGTATTCTGCCAATGACTTTAGACTCAGAAATAATAGAACATAGACATCGCAGTATAGACTACGGACAGCGGACTGTTAATGGCGGGCTAGTCCAACCTCCTCATAGAAGGGACTCAATCAGTGCGAGTTAATAAACAGACAATTTTAAGAGAGAATAAACAGGCAGTTTTAAGAGAGAATCAAGAAGTCTTTTGTTGATTTTTAACTTGTTATCTGGATAGCGTCTTGATCAATCAATCTTCATACCTTTTCTTGTTTCGCTGTAGTCTTTGACCCCACACTGATATAAGATATCCAGCGCAACATTAATTTTTCTTCGGGATTAGTGAACCTCTTTTCCAGAAAGTTGACTTTTTGTGTTTCATGCCAGGTAACAATGGTCATTCCGTCGACTGAGAAAGTTCAGCTCAGTGACCGAGTACAACACAAGATTTTCAAAGTACCGTATAAGCCTGGCTTCTTGGAAAATGATATGCTAAAGCTCGAACTGGAAGGTGACAAGTTTCGGCTTGTGTCCAAACTGATGGAGGTAATATCCACCGTGTGCGATAGTGTTTTAAACGATACAAAGATTATGGAGGAACTTAGGGGCTATGATCTTCTTGTGTACGATGTGCTTGGAGTATGTGGTGCCCTTATTGGTGACCGCCTTGGCATTCCAAGGGTACAGATTTTTGCGAGTCCTAATAGCCCTTTTGATCATATGATACCTACACCTCTTTCCTACATCCCTTTGATGGTGCTTCCGGGGTTCACGGACAAAATGACATTTTTGCAACGAGTTACCAATGTAGTCGTGTACATTGGACTAAGTTTCTGTAAAGATCTGATATTGGCAAGGCCAATGAATGCCTTGAAACTCAAATACAACATTACAACTGATAAGAGCTTCCAGGAGACTGTCGATGGTGTGGAACTTGTTTTAATCA